GGATGGATGGATGGATGGATGCACGAATGGCTGGGTGAAGGTTTGACTAATATGGATGGATGGGATGGATAGATGAACGAAGAGCCGGGGGGGGGGGCTGGAAGCAGGGGGAAAGTTACATTGAAGGGTGACGCAGGAATGGGTGGATGGATGGGGGGGTGTGGTAAATGAATGAATGGATGGATGTGCGGAGAAAGAGGGGTCAGGTCAAAAAATGGCAGATATAAGCGTGTGAGGAAGGATTATAGAGAGACATGGATGGCTAATAATAGCTGAATGAATGAGATGGGAGTGTTTATGCAGCTGCTATATTATACGCTGAAGTGCTAGCAGACAGACACACAGATTGGTAGAGAAAGACTGAAATATGGTCAATCCCACTGCCAAACATTTGCATCTACTGCTTCTCCAAAAACTCCTCTATGGCAGACAATTGCAGGATAACAGCACAGCACAATTTCTTAACCAGGAAGAGCACATTTGAAGAGGAAGACGTCAACAAATCTACTCAGAAAATTGTTTTTACCCTGAGTGGACTCAGTGACTTGCTCTGTGTCGCATAGCAACCACCCTTTCCCACTGGGAGCACGTGCGTGTGTGTGGGTTGGGGGGGGGGTGTATAATACTGTATGTGTGTGTTTTTGAGTGTATATTGGGTTTGTTCAGAAGAGTGTGTCTCCGTGAAGAAGTAGCCTATTAAGGTTTGTAGGATACTTGATAGAACCACAAAGGCAAGGGTCGCTGAAGTGCTTCCCACCCTTACTGCCATTATTTTGTTTGAAAAATGATAGCATATGGAGCTATTTCAGCTTCCAATGTAGTTCTACAGCAGCCCTTTACCTTTATACACCGTTGGCAGAGTTATGTATGTGTTTCTTAGTATATAAACGTACAAATGCCGTGTTTCTGGGTACAAAATGACCACCAACTTCCTTCCACCATTTCTAATTTTTATTTTCACACCATACGAAATAGAAAATGTCACATTTCAATTATTTTGCACAAGGAGGACACAGATGGGGCAGCTCCTGCAGCAAACACGCTGTCGCTGATATCGACAGTCATTGTTCTTTGCAGAATATCGCGCGCAGCACCCCGTGGACGCGCCATAAATCGATTAATTTCCCCGCGTAATGCCGATTGACAGCTGTGGAGGTTTGCTCAGCTACAAATGAAGTAGAAATTGTCATTATTAATATTCAGATTTATTGCTTTAGTTTGAGCTGAAACCCTCGAGGGGGAATGCTGTCTGATTTATTTCCCCTCCCCTCAGTGTTCCATCTCTAATTGGACTTTTCTAATGATTAACTGAGCCACTCCATGGCGAGGCCTCACTCCCTGCAGCCCGACGAGGAATTTCCATCATTCGTAGAAGATTATCGATTATTTTTTTTGCTGCCTTTTCCGGCAGTCCTTGGTAGGAATTTCCTGCTGAAGGCAGCACTTTAGAATTACTACCTTGGCACTGTTGCATATGTACTTTTATAGTACATCGACTATAAAGAGCGTAATAACGTTTATGCAATAAAATATGTTTAATTTCTTCTACATCTGTGTCGCATGGTTTAATAATAGAGTAACGTGATATCACGTACAGTGCATACTAATATATGCCATCTTGGTAGGGAGAATAATATTCCTTGTTTTCTTGTGGGTTCATAGTCAAAAAGACAAACCACAGTCGCATTCATTGATAAGGACGTGTGTGTGTGTGTGTGACATGTCTGAAGCAGCATTGAGCATCTTTTCTCTTTAACTGTCATCTGGCTCTGTCTCTTTGGAGATAAACAGCTGTGTCCTTGGGAGAGGAACCGTGCTGATCTTTTTTGTGAACTTCCCCTTTACCTTTCAGTCCCCTTCTTCTGTGCGCGCATTTCCCCTCTGTGGAAGATTTGAATGCAGATTATGAGCCGGGTCTTTTCATCGTCTCGTCGTCTCTCCGCTTTGTGTACTCTGATGCAGATTGAAAAGGATTTACCATAATCTGTAGACACATCACAAGTGCTGATGGCATTGTAAACAGTGAGGAACTGGCGTTTTAATGTATGGATGCCACAGAAATGTTTATCGTCATTCAAAGCAGACCAGGGCATTTTTCATCTTATCTGTTTCTCCTTTGAGTCACATTTTTTTTTGAAGAAAATGTCTGGGAGAGCAAACAAAAAACGGAGTCTGTGAGCCAGAATCAAGAAGTGTGATGTTTCTGAAGAGTCATGATCTATAACAGGAAGCAGTGACATCAAATCGGTCCTTTGATTCCACTAACATTCATTTGGCATTGGAGTGTTTTTCTTTCTCTATTTTTAGCCACTGTGTACTTTTATTCTGGTCCCTGAACTTGATATTAATATCACAACACAGAAACTAGGAGTATTATACTCCATTTGAGTTGGATGTTAGTTTACTCTGTTTGGCCATTTGCCAGTTTGTTCATGAATGTTTTTTTTAAGGATTCAACAAAAACGTGTGGACGCTAATTCACTGTGTCAGCCCAGCGGGGATTCAGGTAGCTCTGCAGTGCAGAAAGCCTCCTGCTTCAGCTCCCGGTGTGTGCATAACAGATGTTCTGCATTTTGTCGCCACACAGGCCTTTTTCGTGAAGGACTACATTATGAATCACCCAGAGGACGGCGAGAAGATCGGGCGACTGAGAGAACTCATGTTTGAGCAGGTTTGTAATAAGAGATAAAAAGGAAACAGCATGTGATTGTCCATTTACTCGCTTGTTCTGGAGCTTTCGCAATCTGCAGAGGAAGGATGGGAGGAAGCTGGGTGCTGTTAAAAGCACTCGAACAAGCGAGAAGGCGGAGCTTGAGTTTTATGTCAGAGCCGGACTGATACTGGATTTTCGAGGCCGCTACCTGTGTCGCTGATATATACGCTGATACTGATATATCTGCGATAAGCTAATGTCGGCTAATATATTGACCTAGGTAATTTATTAGTTCAGCTCTCGTACATCTATCAGGCGAGATTTTGCTGATATAACCTGTATTATTTCCAGATATTTCATTTTTCTCACTGTAGTTATAGTTAGTATTAGTAGTAGTAAATATTGCAAAAAACGGGGATGTTAGCCAGCTCTTGTTTTGCAGGCGCACATCCTGGAGTACGGCCTGGCTGTGCATGAGAAATTCATTCACCAGGACATGAGGCCTCTCCACAAGAAGCTAGTGGACCAGTTTCATCTAATGAAATCCAGTCTTGGCATACAGGTAAGCCGGAAAAACCGCTGGGATCCTTCCAAGTGAAGGGTCCCTTTAGTCTTTTGAAGAGAAAGCCACCCACTCATTAAACACACTTCCTTCATCTCCATTTGTGTGTATTTTATTTTACATACCTCACGCTGACACAAAGAAGCGTTTAATCATGTGCACATCCTTTTCTCCAATTTCAACACCCCAGGAGTTTCCAGCTTATGTGCGCGCAAGTCCTGTGCACTTCACCAACGGGAGCCCGCGAACATGCAGGAACTCTGTGCCCAACATCATTAGCCCAGACGGTGGCAGAGGGGTTGCCAGGCGGAGGTGACGATCTCTTTTGTTTAAAGTTTTTGTCTGTTTTCTTTAATTTTTAGTATGATGGTGATGATACATCTACATCTTTCTTTTGTCTTTATTATCATTATTATTATTATATATTAATGTTTGAAATTTATGAACCACCCTAAAGCTCTTTTATCTTACTATTAAATTTCTGCTTCACATTGTCTCACCTTTCTTCGCTTTCTCTTGATGTGCTGTCCTCCACTGCAGACCCTTCTCTTCTTCTTTCTTTTTTACTTTTTTGTGTCCCCACCTTACCTCAAACACCACGCTCTGTGCCTTTGCTCTCTTCTTCCTTCCGTTCTTTACCGGCGTGGCTCCATCTGGGCATACAATAGGTGGAGGAAGGGGGGTGGCTGGCTGGCACCCACAGGGATATGTCTGTGTGGCTGCTGCCAGGCCAGCAGGCAGACTGTCTGTGTGTGTGTGTGTGTGTGTGTGCGTGCGTGCGTGCGTATGCGTGTGTGTTTTGATGTGTTCAGTGACCCTGCCACTCTGTCTACCTGCGACATTCTGCCTCCACAGTCTAATCCCAGGAGGCACAGCCACACAGAAAAATACAGACACACACATTACCTCCATCTCCCAGTGACATTTTGCGTTTTACTTATTGAGTTTTGATTTCTTTTTTGTACTCTGTTGCAACACAAAACCAGGTTACATCTATTATTTAATCTTTTTTTTGGTAAAGACTTCTGCTTTAACCTTCCTTTGAAAATCCCATTGAGTTTGTTCTCTAACCTTTATTTTTTGGCAAACAAGTGCTTGATGAAATGCTGTGATTGCTGCATTGATTATCTTCTTATAATCTGACATTTTCTATTTCTGTTTGTGTTTTTTCCTTCATGCCTCTACGTTTGTCCGCCTCATGCTGAATTTTCGGTGAGTGAAAGCTAATGAAACAAAATACCATAATCTGTCTCTCTTTACCAAAAGCCACCGTGACCTTCTCTTTCTGTGTTCCCCTCACCCTCAGACCCCTCAGCTACCCTGCGGTGAACCGCTACTCCTCATCGTCTCTGTCGTCTCAGGCGTCCAATGAAGTCAGTAATATCACAGGGCAGTCCGAGAGTTCGGATGAAGTCTTCAACATGCAGGTAATCTCTCTCTCTCTCTCTC